TCGTGGCTCTCGGCTATCGCTGTCAGCACCTCGCATAGTCCTTGCTGTATCTTCGCGTTGCTCTGGTGCCTGGTCATGGCGCTGACGACAGCCTCGATCGCTTGCGCATCTCTCGCTGTGCCCTGGTATCGGAAGTACTGCATTGTGTACTTCAGAGCCCAGCACGCAGCCTGCTGTACTTGCCAGTCGTCCGCATACCTATCGAGGCATCTCATGACGGCCTCGATCGCTCCCGCCTCCCGTGCTCGCGCCTGGTTGTCTTCGATGCGACCGACGGTATGTCTCAGGGCCCAGCACGCAGCCTGCTGTACCCCCGCGTCGACTGCGTGTGTGGACATGGCGCTGACGACGGCCTCGATCGCTCCCGCCTCTCGCGCCTGCGCCTGGCTCTCGTCCCTGAAGCTGACAGTGAAGCGCAAGGCCGAGCACGCAGCCTGCTGTACCCCTGCGTCGAATGCGTGCGTGGTCATGGCGCTGACGACGGCCTCGATCGCTCCCGCCTCTCGCGCCTTGACCTTGTCAGCCTCCCCGTTCCGAGCCATGCTGACCAAGGCTTCGCACGCAGCCTGCTGTACCTCCGCGAGAGCCTCGTACGTCCTCATCTCCTGCATCACTGCCTCTATGCTGTCGTCAGCTCCCGTCCTCAGCAGCCTCCATGCCTCCCTTGCCGGCTGCTCCATCCCGACCGGCAGCGCCTGAGCTCCCGTCCTCAGCGAGCTGAGAGCGTCGCTGCCCGTGGACTCCAAGGCGATGCAAGCTGACTCTTGCAGCTCCACGAGCTCTGCGTACTTGCGCTTCCTGACTCTCCTCGCCACCGCCTCGATCCCTCCCCCCGCTGCCTCTCCGATCCTTCTCCATGCAGCTTCTGCCATGCTGCGTATGCCTCGGCATAGCGACTGGTTGCCGGCCCCTGCCCGCTGCTGTCCAGGCGTCCTGTCTGACCATGTCCATGCAGCAGCCCCCTCATCCCCCTCCGCTCCGGCTCTTCCTACAGCTACCGCAAGCTCGGCGAACCTCGGGCGGTCCTCCTCCCTCGTCGCCCAGCAGCTCTCCAGCAGGGCCCACAACCCGTCCGGGCATCCTCCGAGGAGGTGCTCTCGAGGCAGCCTCCCACCCCCGCACACGTACCCGATCACAGTCGGGTCCGTCATGGGGTAGTAGGGGGTCATGCCCGAGGTCAGGATCTCCCAGCACGTGACCCCGTAGGCCCACACGTCGCTCTTCTCCGAGCACCGGCCTCTCTGCATCGACTCTGGGGGCATGTAGCGCACCGGCAGCGCTCGCCCCGCTACCCTCCCGTCACTCCCGTCCACCAGCTCCCCTGCCCGCCCGTACCCCGCCACCTTCACCGACGTCCTCCCCACGTCCTCCTTGTCGAAGCCCATGACCAGCACGTGCCGAGCCGCGAGGTCCCGGTGCACGACCCGCTGCTCAGCCAGGTGCTCCATGCCCTGCGCGATCTGCTCCATCATCGCCATCTGGTGCCCTCGTGTCACCTGCCCCGCCAGCCTCCCCAGCAGAGCCTCCCTCAGCGACCCCAGCTCGGCGAGCTCGGTCAGCAGCAGGGGACAGCCGTCGGCGTCGTGGCTCTGCCCCATGTAGCGTACAAGCCGAGGATGCGGCCCGAGTCTGAGCATGACCGCGGCTTGTCTGCCGCCGTCGTCTTGCCTGAGCTTGAGCACGGCTACCTTGATCTTGCCGGGCCCTGCTCTCCTTCCTTGCTGGCGGAGGTGACCTATGTAGAGGGTCTGGGAGGAGCCTGCTGAGATAGGCTGCCGCTCCATCTCCACGTCGTGCCTGGGGACGAGCAGCGCGTGTCGCTCCTGCCACTCCTGGATGGCGCTGCGGAGAGCGAGGTTGGGGACAAGGTGGTCGGAGGGGAGGAGGGCGCCTGTGAGGGGGCTGGAGAGACGATGGCGGAGCCAGGTCTCGATGGAGGATCTCTGGTAGGTGTGGCCATCGCAGCAGGTGACAGGGTCGGTCATGAGCGCCATGCTGATGGGGCAGATGAAGGACGGGAGCGCTCCCTGGTCCGCTGCCATGGCGGGCCGAGGAGCGAGGGGAGAGGAAGGGAGGGGATAAAGGGGGTACGTGCATCGAGGGAGAGAGGGGGTGCGAGGCCGGTCTAGGGAGGGGTAGGGGGTGGTACGAGGAGGGGAGAAGAGGGAGGTGGGGTGGTCCAAAAAAGAAAAGCTAATCCTACCAGCGGCTACGGGGGGAGTGTAAAACTAAAAAAAAGAAGAATAAGTCTTGTTGCTGCCTTTTGTGTACGATGGTATCTTGCGGGTATGTCTTGTTGCTGCCTTTTGTGCATTTGGTGCTGATGGTCTGAGGCGGGTGGCTTTCTACTAGGGAGAGGACCAAGGGGATCAAGGGGGGAACCAACGACATTGGCGACAAGAAGAAAGACTGGACATACAGAGCTGCAGGATCTAAGGATAGATTGCAATCATTTCAAGATATCTGATCAAGAAATGACAACGTGGATGTCTTATGCGCAAAAAACGAAACTGAATCCTTTGATTGTGAAGTTCAACAAGATCAATCTTGAGAACTCTTGCTTGAGTGATGTCAAGGACATCATCTTTGATAGGTACATGGAGTTGTGCAAGACAGAGATCAAGGAATTCAACCTTGACAACTTTATGTGCCAGATTTGCTGCTCTTGGACACCTTGTAAAGAGCGGAATATATCGGATGTGTGCAAGACCTGCAGAGATAATTATTTTGTATGGAGATGCTCTATGTGTGATGATGATGTGTTTGAGCACCTCGACGCAATAGTAACCGCAGAATATCTGTGCGATGGATGCTATATGGAGGTGCCATACTGCAAGAGATGTTACGAAGAGGAGCTCGAGTTCTCATGCTGGAAATGTGGAGACATATACAAGCTGTGTAATGGATATGATGAGGACTGTTGCTCATATGGTTGCACGTCTGGAGACGAATGGTGGTAGACAACAAGGATCCAGGGGGTTACATTTTACAAACTGTGCACCTTCAATCCAAGCATATTTTTTCATCAATGTTTGGATGTTCATTCTTACAAATCTCCAATACACTCTTCACAATCTAGCCTTCTTCTCTTGTGGCTACATTGTTCATCTTCACAATCTAGCCTTCTCCGTTATCTACTCTCCTCTCCGCCAGCCTTTTCCTCTGACCTGATCTTCTCTTCTCTTTGATCTGCTCTCCTTTCACCTGCTTCCCCTCTCCTCTCCTCTCGTGCAAGATCTTCTTCTCTCCGGTCAGATCTGCTCCTCGCAGTCTCTTCCTTTCCTTCTTTCCGTCTCTTTCCTTCTTCCCCCTTCTCCTCGCTCCTCCATCTCTCTTCACTCGTCCCCTCCCTTGTCCGCTCCCCTTGTCATTTCACTCCACTACCTCCCCCCTGTCCATTCCTCTTCTCCGCTCTCTGCTCTCTGCTTCTCCCTGCCCTGCTCGTCTCTTCTCCTCCTCTCTCCTCTCCTCTTCCATCTGTTCCCTTTGCTTTTCTGATCGCCTTTCTACTCTACTGGCTGAGGCTTGAAGAGAAGCAGCTCGACAGGTAAAACCAACGAGAGAGAAACGAGAGAAGAGAGAAAACGACAAGGGAAGGGAGAGAGAGAGGGTAAGAAAGGGGAAGATGAACAAGCCAGTAGACAACGAGAGATGTTTACAAGATGTTTAGGAGAGGGTGAGAAAGAGGGGAAGAGAAAAAAAAGCAGAATCACGACCAGCAGCCAAGATGAGAAAGAGAGAGAGAGAGAGAGAGAGAGACAGTGAGAGACAGAGAGACAGAGAGACAGAGAGATAGAGAGAGGATAAGACGTGAGGTATGTATGAGGAGACAGACTCGAGTCGATAAAGAAAAGAGGCAAGCGAGACAGGCGAGAGAAACTCACGAGGAAGAGGAACATCGAATGACAATGCGAGATGAATAGAGGCAAGACAAATCATCAAGAGATGATGTGCAACACATCACTACATATACAGATAGACGAGAAGCTGTACTGCAACAAACATCAAGAAAGTCATATCTAGAGAGAGACTATGAGAAGAAGAAGAAAATAGGAGGAGGAAGAAAAGGATCAAGAAAATTAAGGAGAGGACGAAAAGAAAGAAGCAAAACCAAGAACTAACAACGACATCGGCGAAGGTCTGAGACGAGACAACAAGGAATGAGCAAGGGAAGCAGAGAGGTCTGAGATTGAGTGAGTCAACCTTGCAGTCACTCTTGTCTTGTCTCTTCTTCTCCTTCTCTCCCCTCTCTTCTCCTCTTCACTCCTCCCCGTCCCTTCCCCTCCGTATCTTTCTACCCCCCTACCCCCTCACCCCCTCACCCTTGCGACATCAGCGTAAAAATCTACACAGACTACCGGGTCCTACCCCATCACTTTCACGACCACCTACCCATCTCGTCCCTCTCCTTCATGTACCCTCTAGCCCCCTCCCATCAAGAGAGGTCAATCTTTTCTTTATTCGAGCCCGAGTGCCCTCAGTGACCGGGCCTGGCCCCGAGGCCCCGGGGCCGCGGCCCGGTGCTTCAGCTACTCCCGTCCCGGGCCCGAGGAGGGACTCCGGTGAGTAGAGGAAGAGAGCTGCGGGGCTGTACAAGACATGTGCTATCCGAGTCATACGGCAGTAGATGGCTCACTAGTGCAAGCACAAGCGATGAGAGGCCTAGACCAGTCTCCTCGCATGTCTCCCTAGTCACTAGTAGATCCTGCACATGCTCGTCCCGCTCGAGCGACACATCGGGCATGACCTAGACGTTTCTGCCTCCTTGCAGTCCC